GCATTGTGGTCAATTGCAATCACTCTGAAATTTGAAATTGAATGACCAGCTAAATTGAAATGTTCGGCTGCTGGTTGATCAAGCTTAGATGTTCTGATAGCTGATCTATGTTGTGTCATTTTCATACGGAGAGTGTTTTTTGTTTCTCCGACATATTGTTTACCACAAATACTTGTGAAAAGGAAAAATACGTGGAATATATAACTTAATATTTTATAGGCATAATATATACATATACATATAATATGTAAATTATACCTGCCGAGCTGCAAAATTTTTGGGTTCCTAAATTGATAAATTTGCCAACCAACTTAACTTACATTTAATAATTTATATCTGAAATATCGACGATTCATTATCAAAGCACATTAAAACTGAATGCATTGCCTAATCTTTAGATAGTCTTACAAGTAGGAATCACAAAATATAAATCTTATCTCTGTGCCAGCCAGAAAACTTTTTTTTTTTCAATTTTTAACTTTACAAAAGATACCATTAGCTGCGCCTATAAATAATTATTTTTCATATTATGCTTTATTGAAAATATTGATATGCATAAACGCAAAGCCGTGTAGAGAATAGCTTGATGTTACGATAAGACCTACAACTGTGTGGTCACTGGTCCCGGGTCCAATCCTATGATGACCACTCCCTAAGCTTCACTGTAAGATTAATATATTCCCACTCGTTGCTTGATAAATGAGGTAACTATATAAATCAAATATATTTAATATGCCACCTACCTACCTGTCTGTTGCACTGAATAGATATATTGTAGTTTCAACAGGCTAGACCCTAACAATAGTCGAATATCGCTTATTTGTTTTAAACCTCTTCAGTTGAAAAATGCAAAATGCTGAAAGTCAGTTTTGTTTATATAAGAGTACACGAGGAAACGTCACGGATATGTTTTGAAGAGTTGCGGAAGAGCAGGACCGTCCACACCGCGTCGCTCATCAAAATCTTGGTTCGTGGTAAAGCGCTACGTCATTAGCGGTCGTCCCTACTTCCAGAAGACGTGTGAAATATTCATCGGAGTCCAGATACATATACAATTTTTAAAATGAAAACCATGCGCTGTCTAATTTTTTTGCGGTTCACAACAAGACATTTGTGTCTGGTAAGGAAGGCGAAACCGCACTACCTGAGACATGTGTTATGATGCAGTCCAAAATGACATATTATTGTTTCGACCAAAATAACCAAAGCGAAGGTCATGCCGTACATGGAAAAATTTTCCCGCATCCGTATTAGGACACATCAGGCCTATCAGTTGGGCTTTGCAGGATGACGTGGTATTTAAATCGCCAGAGATTGGCTAGCTCCAAGAGTTTGTACGTCAAAAAAAAAAAGAAGAAAAAAAAGACAAGCCTTCAACCTCCGCCCACCTCATTAATTTCTGGAAATTTTAATTGATCGATTTGCAAATACATTGCCTAATTCATCGTTTATTAAAATTCCATGGTGCAACCCATTTTACATACAGTAGGGAATCATTTTTCCGTATTTAACAATAAATTCCTGATGGACAACCGTAGATATAGATATGGAGTCACGAACTGGAAAATGCATACGACATTAAATAAAAGAGACATTATTTGAAAGGTCTGAAAATGCAGACTATGTGTTCCAAGATGGATTATGATGGCTACAAAACGACTATGACACTAATCATAATCTCTATTAATGTCCTTAATAATGTCGGTGAGTGTTTGTTGGTGATGATAATCAATGAAACAATAAGTGATAGCTTATAATACATGATGCATTTGAGAGATTTTCTCTTTAAAATGTTATCAAAGCAACAAATCAGCCATTTTTCAATTACTCAATTACTTTGAGGAAGAAGATAAAAATATCCGTTCTTTTTATATACAGTATATTTTAGGAAAACCCATGATAATGTAGATCGCGATAATTTCAATGGCTTAATGTATCACAATTACATCCATTACCAATACTCCCTCTGGAAGCTGCGCAAACTTTCCTCTGGGATCAAGCCTACGCACCAGGCAGTTTGACGTCATATCGACCGATCTAAAGTCCTGTTCACAGACTGTTTATGAAGAGACATGGTACCTCGCTAGTTCATAGCACTTTATAGTACTGTCAGTACATCTGTAGGCCTAGTATTTCCTTACTTAGATACGCTTTTCATGAAACTGTTGTCGGGCATTGGCACCTCGCTAGTTCACGGCACTTTACATAGGCGTAACATTCATATAAATTAAATTCGATATTATTAATCCCTCAATTAGGAATAAAAATTTTATAAATACAGGTCGTTCCACCTAAAGCTAATAATGTAAAAAATAATCATCACAACCGCTGGCTGAGGTAAAATTTGGAATTTGTCGTTCAGTCTCTAAACAGCCTGATC